AAGAGTTCCAAGTTCCTGGAACTGTGTTATGGAAGGGGTCAGGACAATGAGGGTGCACAGACTATGTTGAATCGCAGTGCCCATGTCCCAAGAAGGGCGTTCTGGCACGATTCTGGACCGTCAAGACGCATCTGTCACGTTGATCCCGGGAATGGTTCTCAGGACGGTTCAGGATCGCCAAGACGCAACAGTCGGGTTGCCCCGTGGCGTTGGAACCCCGAGAGCAATGTTTTGGCATGCTTCAACGTGTTCAAACAATTGTATTCCAACAAGGCAGCTGATCCCTCGGTAAACATGACCCGTTGTAGGGGCCTGGGAAGAGTAAGCGTGGAGGGAGGGAATATTTCAACATCGTTGATGTCTTTTGGGTTTACACTGATCCTCCTCCTCCCCCTCCTCCTCTTACTCCTCCCCCTCCTCCTCTTGCTCCTCTTCCCCCTCCTCCTCCTCCATTCCCCTAATAGCTCCTCCCTGTCGAATCCCAATGCCGGTCGAAAGGGCGGGCCGAGCGTTTCGCCTAAGACTTCCTCACCACTCCTGGCCCTGACGCTAAAGAAAAAACAGCAGCTTTACACATGGAGGGCGGGCGGTTTTCAAAATGTGGTTTTCGCCTTAGCGCCACGCAGATCCTTTCTACAAACATGCAAGAGCTTACGTTTTTCAAAATGTGGCTCTCGCAGTAGCGCCGCGCGCATTCGTTTTAAACATGTGCAAGAGCTTCACGGATTGAGGGCGGCTCGTGTTTCAATTGTGGATAACGCTTTAGCGCTCCGCACAGTCGTTGCAAACAATAGCAAAACTTTCATGGATTCCCATGGTGACCGTACCAAACACTGTTTTGGAAGGGTTCAGGACAATGCGGGTGCGTAAGTCATCTTGACTCGCGGAAGTCCCGGGAAAGGTGTTCTGGCACAGTTCAGGATCCCAAGACGCAACAATCAGGTTGACACATGGCGTTGGAGTCCCGAGAACGGTGTTTTGGCATGCTTCAAGGTCTTCAAACGGTTTTCTCCCAACGAGCCGGCTCCCTCAGTGGAAGTGAACCATAGTAGGGGCCAGTGAACAGGTAGCTTGGTGGGATGCTGTATTCAGACATCGTTGATGCGTCTTGGGTGCACACTGGTGTCGCTCCGCCTCCTCCTCCGACTCCATCCTCCTCCCTCCTCTTGTTCCTCCTCCTCCTCCTCCTCCTCCTCCTCCTCCTCCTCACCATCACCATCATCATCATCATCATCCCCTCATTCCTCCTCCTCGCCCACTTTCCCTCCCTTCCCTCCTCCTCTCTCTCCGGTCTCCTCCTCCCGCATTCGTCCTCCTCCAAGTCCTCCTCCCCCTCTTTTCTTCCTACGACTAATATCAGTGTTTCGCCTACGACGGCTACGACGACGACGACGTCGACGACGACGACGAGTAATACGACGACGACGACGACTACGACTAAACTACGCCTACGACTACGACTACGACTACGGCTACGGCCACGACTACGACTACGACTACGACTACGACTGCTACTACAACAACAACAACAACAACAACTACTACTACTACTACTACTACTACTACTACTACCATCACTACTACCATGATTACGACTACTACAACTACTACCACTAGTATTAGTAGACGTACTACTACTACAACTGAAACTACCACTATTACTACGACTACGACTACGACTGCAACTACGAGGGCGACTCCTGCTGCTGATGCAGCTGCTGCTGCAAATACTGCTACTACTACGACCACTACTACGACGACTACTGCTACTGCTACTGCTACTGCTACTGCTACTGCTACTGCTACTGCTACTGCTACTGCTACTGCTACTGCTACTGCTACTACTACTACTACTACTACTACTACTACTACTACTACTACTACTTCTACTACTACTACTACTACTACTACTACTACTGCAACTACTAGTATTTCCACCTCGACTAAACCCAAGACTCTGACTACGACGACGACTGCGACCACAACTACTGACCTACAACGAATACTACTTCCCCTAATAACTACTACCACTAGTAGTAGTAGTAGTAGTACTACTACTACTACTACTACTACTGCTACTACTACTACTACTACTACTACTACTACTACTACTACTACGACTACGACTACTATTGCTACTACTACTACTACTACTACTACTACTACTACTACTACAACTACTACTACTACTACTACTACTACTGCGACTACAACTCCTCCTACTACTACAAATACTACTGCTACGACGACCAGCACCACTATGGCTACTACTACGGATTCGACTACGACTGCTACTACTACTGCTACTACTACTACTATTACTACTACTACTACTACGACAAGTATTGATACTACTACTACTACTACTACTACTACTACTACTACTACTACTGCTCCTACTGCTGCCGCTACAACGGTGCAAAGTACAACTCCAATAACCACAGCTACTGCTGCTAAAACTACTACTACTACAACTACTGGTGCTACGACCATCGCTACT